CAGGAACCCAGGGTTATATTTTTTTCGGTTTCACAACGGGTTTATAAGTGAGAGTTAGTTAATCTGAGGTTAGCTTACGATTGGCCCATAAATTGGCCTGTTCCGGAGGCCTTTAATGATAACATTTATGTTTCACTGATAACAGTGTTGATAAGCCTGATGTTGTTAGATTACCGTGCTTTTCAAATTTATTTGTGTATTGTGTTTTGTAATTTGTTCACTGATATCTACTTGTCGACAATATTTTATTACAAAATACAAATATGAGTTACTCGAATGAAGTAAAGAAGAGGGCGAGGAACGTCAATTTCTGTAGCAGGGAAGAGGAACTGCTTGTTGAATTAGTTACCGCCAACAAACATGTTCTGGAAAATAAGAAAACAGATTCTGTCATGTGGAAAGAAAAAGAAAATTGCTGGAAGAAACTGGCCTTGGAATTTAATAGCCTAGCGATATTAGTTCCACGCACTGTAGCGCAACTGCAGTTGAAGTACAAAAACATAAAAAAACTTGTGCGGAAAAAAAGTGCTTCGATAAGGTAAGTGTGATCAATATTTCAGTTTTTGACGATTCATATATCTTCATTATTGATAATTTTATTTTGTTTAATTCAAGACTGAAACGACTAAAGACAGGCGGTGGGAATAACGAATCAATAGCTCTCAATGATATTGAACAAAAAGTAAAGGACATGATGCAACTGTCTGTTGAAGGCATGCCTTCAACTTTTGATTGTGACGGTGAAATTGATGCCATGCCTCCTTCCGGTTATAATTATGACGATGAAGTAGATGGTAAGATCATATTAATCATGTCCTGTATTTTCCTTCAGCCTCAAATGATTTTTCAGACGATTTTGCAATGATTGATATTAACGATAGTGATTCATGGATTGTGACTGGTAAGATCAGATTACATTTAAGGGCCAGCATTATAATCTCCGGTTAAATGTAACGGACTCCATCAAATTCGGTCTGTAATATAATCTGCTATTAGTCGGTTAAGTGGAATCGACTATTGTAATACTGGCCCTAATAGTAAGAATTTAATTATTTAAGAATTTTTTTTAAATAAAATGTAAATATTTTTTTTTCCGTTATGCCAGATGAAGTTGTAACTGTCAAGTCAAAGATCACTACTGAACCAACTCAACCACGTATGTTTACTAAAGTTTTCTTTGATTTCTCATTCGATAATCTACCCATAGATAACATTTTTAAAAGTAGGCTAATAGCAGTCTAATAGTAAAGATTTATTTCAGATACAACTGTCAGTCAATGGAATGTGGTGACTACTCAACACCTAAAGTCAAAAGTTAGCACACCTCTCAGAACCCCTTTCAGTGAGTTAACATTACACATAATTTCCATAATATTGATAACTAGAAATAAGATGCTGATGACTTTGGCATTTTCTCCCTTTAATTCAATACAATGCTAGCTTACCCAAAAACTCATTTCAAGCATCCCTGATTCAGAATATCTGAATTTAGTTTTGCATTTTCAGTTAGTTTTACTACTGTTTGTTCATATTATACGTCATTTTTGAATTTTTAAAAATAATATTGTACTATTGTTGAAGAGCTATTGCTATGATTTGGTTTACTGCATAAATGCAAGACAGTAATTCATAAAACCATAACTATATACATAGGTATTCATTTTAAACTTATTTTTTTCAATTTTTACAGTTTTTACTTTTTAGGTCATTTAAGCATTTTTTCATAAGTCTTTTTTGGTATTTTTTTTAGATCGTTCACATCCTAATTTTGCAAGGTTAGATTCTGTTATCATTCTTAAATGAAATTAATGAAATTTTACACATTTGTTTTCAGGAAAAAAGAAGACTCGTACTGCCGAGGCAACAAGTTTACTGCAGCAAAGTGACCAGCTTGTGGAATTGTAGATGAAATGTCTAAAGCAAAAGAAAAAGAAAAAGAAATGAAGACAAATTAGAACTAATACGGCATAATGATAAAAATATATATGCATCAAAGGATCCAATAGATTTTCAAACGTGTTTAATAATTTTTTTACTAATATTGGTAGCAATCTAGCATCTAAAATTAAACTATCAAATTTAAATTATGAGGAAAAAAACACTAGTGAATCATTTGATGTTTATTTTAAAGAATTAATAAATGATCATGAAATTCTAAAAATTATTTCAAATCTTAAAGATGATACTGCTGCAGGATATGACGGAGTTTCAGTGAAAATTTTAAAGTCTATATCGGGAAATATAATTAAATATATTATTATATATATTATATATATATAATCTCAGTTTGAAAGAAGGTAAATTTCCCGATAATTTAAAACTAGCAGTTATTAAACCACTTTTAAAAACTGGAGATACTTCTAGTGTAAAAAACTATAGGCCTATTTCCATGATGAACAATTTTGCTAAAACTTTAGAAAAAAATAATAAAAGGTAGATTAATAACGTTTTTAGAAAATAATAAACTGTTGTCCAAAAACCAGTATGGTTTTAGACCAGGGATGGGTACAGGAAATGCCTTGTACAGTGAGAGTATATTCATATACAACGCTCTTGATAATAGTAAAAAGGTTACGGCGATTTTTCTTGATCTAGCGAAAGCATTTGATACGGTAAATCATCATGAAATAATCAAAATATTACCGAATTTTGGTTTAAAAAATATTAGTTTAAACTGGTTTAGGAGCTATCTACAAAATAGGAAACAAATAGTTAAAATTAATGACATCTTGGGTGAGGAGATGGAAATTAAATGTGGAGTACCCCAGGGTAGTGTTATGGGTCCTTTACTGTCTATTTTATATATTAATTCTATATGTGATATGAAAATTGATGGTCAAATAGTAACATACGCGGATGACACATGCCTACTCTTTTCGGGTGTTTCATGGGATGAAGTTCGCGTAAAAGTTATACAAGACTTTAAAAAAGTAATACACTACTTAAATCATAGAAAACTAACAATCAATTATAAAAAAAACAAATTTTATACATTTTACAATTAATAAGGATGATAAAAGTTTTGATAACTTAGAATTTAATATTTATGATAATGGGTGCTCTTGTAATGTTCCAATATATCAAAAAATATATAGAGTCTCTAGTATTAGATACTTAGGTTTAACATTTGATAAAAACATGAAATGGAACTTACATGTAAATAATATTTTGACGCGGATGTGTTTATTGTCGTTTAGCTTTTATAAATTACAATCGTTCCTATCAGTGCAAACTATGCGTACCTATAATTTATTTATCACTATTTCAGGCAATACTCCAATATGATTTATTGGTTTGGGGGGGACTGAATCAAAATTCGTCTAGACCACTACAACTATTACAAAAAAAAATTGTTAGGTTATGTTTAAGTAAAAATACGTTAACTGGTTCAACTAAAGAAAATTTTTTGTTATTAGATGTGTTACCATTTGAGTCTGTTTATAAGAAAATATAATTGTATATATTAAAAATTGTATGTATTAAAAACTTTGAATCATATCTGGATATTAATAAGGTATTAGTTAAAAGAGAAAATAGAGCATTTGATGTTAAAATGTAATATCCTAAAAAAAGTTTGGTCAAAAATTCATTGATTATCTTGGTCCAAAAAATTATAACTTAATGCCAATAAAAATAAAAAAGGACATATTCTTTACAGAAGGGAATCGTATAACTACAGGAATGAAAAAAAAAATTCATATTTGGTTATTTTCAATACTTTAATTAATTAAAACGAAATATATTTAACTTTGTAATTTAATATTAGTATAAGTATTCTAATTGTATGTATTGATTACTAAATTCTTGTCAGCTTTTTTTTTTCTACTTATCATTATGTCATATAAGATATAACTCTCTACCACCACTACAAGCATGTGCTTAAAGGTGGTGGATAATTTTTGTTTTATTTAAAATAAAAAAAAAAAAAAGCGAAATCGAAATCGATTAACAAAATCATGGTAATCGTACAATTCGAGATAGTTGACCCTCTCGTAAAAAATTTGAGGTCGCCGTTGCATCGCAATAACTTCGTCATCATTTTTAAGTTGGAAAAGCGATGTTTGTTGTTGACTGGTCTATTCAGCGTTGACTTTGGATCGCGATTTCAGGCTGCGCTAGATGGCGCTCGCTGATTCATGAATCTATAATATACGATCAATTTGTCTCGTTACAAAACTAGAAACAATTTTTCTTTAGAAGCTTTGTTATGTAATTTGTCCGGAAAGGCTTTATGCATTACTCAGCATATAATTATAGCAAATTATAAAGATCGAATATTATTGATTTATGAAACAGCGAGCGCCATCTAGCGCAGCCTGAAATCGCTTTCATTTCCAACTTCAATACGTGAATATTCAGCGTAGAAGCGTACTAGATATAATTCTAAGTTATAGAATAGTTATATTTAAGTTTAATATTGATTTCCATTTGTTTATGGATCGTAATAACAACAATAAAATGTATGGTACAGCACTCCACAGAGCGCGTGCGGGAGCATTCGCTCTGAGACCTAATAACAAAATACAACTTTAAAGCTTGAGGAGGTATAAATGGTCTTAGATAATACATGAATAAGCTTCAACAATCAACCTAACAAAGAAAACTCACAGCCGCCCACACCCAGTGTATAATGTAACCATTGAAAAGTCGACATAAAGTTACGTTACGAAAACGCCATACCGCAAAATAGTGATTAGGTAATTATTCAAACAGTTTAAACGTACATAACCTAACATTTTCAAAAAAATGACAACCAATGAGAAATGCTCATTCAGTTTGCAAATTATTTGAACGGTTTCCACGTTTTTGGGGACGACCGAATTCCTGTTGTGCAGTAAAACGTTAGTGATTTGTCTACACAATACGTTGCGGTTTTTTTAAAAAATATTGTTCACTTCCATTCGTCGCTCAATAAATAATATCGACAAGTTACAACGTTTAGTTGTAGTTGTAATTTCTCTTTTTTTCCATTTTACTGAGAAATAAATTCTGTTTTAGGGATGAAGATTGTCCACGGCGTCCTATCCATGTTGTGCTTTAACCTCGGTAAATATACATCTACACCACACTGCGTATGCGTAAAAGGTCTATTAATGGACGGTCCGAGCTCAAATCTATTGTCAACACTCAATAGATGCGCGTCAAAAATGAATATCTATATTATATATTTTAAAGTACACCTATTATATTAGGCACAGGGGGAGGGCTGAAGGTTTCAAACACCCATACAACATGGAAAGTATAATAAAATATATTTAAAAATATTTAAACTTACTAACATATTTTAAAGTGTTATTTTTTCTTTTGGATGATGAACCAATCCTCAATACTAAATTCCGCTTACAGCACTGCTGATACATGATGAATTACATTTTCAACGGAAAATTAATCTTACATATGTAGTTATAGAGACTATAGTAGACTATAGTTCATATTATTCAATACCTAATAATTTATTGATTAATATTTCAAAATTCAAGTACCTTTATGGCGATAAAAAAACAATATTGTTTACTGCACTAAACAATAGTATAGAAAATCTGATGTACGATGATAATAGTAAATTACCTATTTCAATTCTGTGCTTGTTATTTCCACTTGTTTAAGCCAATTGGCAACTGGTAATTACCAGTTACTGTGAAACTTATTGATTTCGTTAACTGATATTATAAATATGTTGGATTGTCAAATAACTTATTTTTAATTTTAATTTTAATTTTAGCCTATTCTCATATGACACCTGTAATAACGCACATTTTACCAAACCAAATAAAAGATATTGGTGGTGCAACGGAAATGGCATGCACAGTTTCAAATTCCTCTAACTATTATGTTTTGTGGATGAAGCTTGACTTAAACAAATCTATTGAACCTTTCCTTATTTCTTTTAAAAATACACTTAACATCAAAGACTCTAGATTATCAATAATACAAGACTCAATGATGGATGAAATACGTTACACATTACAGGTATGTACCATTGATGTATATGAATTTAAACAATGAAACATTTTTTTTTTAAGTAACATGTGACAGGTGCCTACTGCCTACTGAATTTTAATCAAATTATGGAAATAATAAAATTCCAGATTAATGATATTCAAGAATTTGACACTGGTATCTATCGCTGCCAAATTGTGATTGGACTACACAACATAATATCTGCTGAAGTTGAGTTGAAAGTACGTGGACCTCCAATGATACATGAGAATTCCACCGCATCTATGGTTGTAATGGAAGGTCAACAAGTGACCCTCGAATGTTATGCTCGAGGGTATCCTAGTCCAAGAATTTACTGGAAGAGAGAAAATAATGGAATTTTACTTGCCAGCCGATCAATTTTCAAGTATTATACATTTATACAACTTCTTTTTTTAGAGTTAAAATACAATGTTAAAGCTTAATTTTTCTTAAATTATATCAGGGACAAGAATAAAGTTAATAACAATAGTTTTGAATAAAAGCTTATGTCATGAGCCAATGACAAGACTTATAACAAAAAATTAAAATTTTTATTTTATTTTATTAAATATACGGGATAAACCCTTTGAACATATATACACATTATACATATCTAGTTACACATTAATTGTACAAATTATGATAAATTATAAATTAATAGCTTTACAGTAAATTATTTGTAAAGAAGAAATAAAGGGTCAACATTGGCATTTGACATCATACGTGTAATAGGCTCATTTTTAAGGTAATTAGTGGAGGCGAATGGAACATAAAAAGGAGCAACAGGTCGGGAATGACGTTGATTAACTCTAAAACAAATTAAGGAAAGCAAATAGGGAGAGTCAATATCACCTTGTAATAAACTATTCAGGAACTTAATGCCCAAGATCCGTCTACGCTCAGCCAGCGAAACCAGCCCTAGTTGAGAATATTAACATTTCACAAAATATACCAAAAAATTATAGGTCCAATAGGTAATAAATAATACATTATTGGTTGAAATTCTATGTAATATTTTTTATTTGTTTTATATTATTTTTCAATATATCCACCATGAACTGCTGTGCACAAGTCAGTTTTATATGCCCATGATCTTTGTAACAAAATTTGAACTTGAATTAGAAAATGTGCTAGATATTCCCAGTAATAATTTAATTTTGTGACAAAAATCATGGGCCTATAAAATTGACTTGTCCCTTGTGCATAATAGTTTATGGTGGATATATTGAATAAAAAAAAACATAATACATACAATTTCAACAAGTACCTAATGTGTTCTGTATTAATTATTAACTAATTACCAGTTATGTCCTATTGGATTAACATTGTTATTAATGTGTGAAAACCATACAATTTTACAATAATATGATGCTCCATTTTTTAAAATAAAAGTTGCTTTCCTTCAGTCAAAATTCAACTGATTTCAAAATAGTTTTTTCACCATATTAAATATAAATAAATAACTACAAAATGGATATTTCTGAATTTTTAAAAGTTTTTTTTTTATATATGATAGAGACTATCAGTCATATATTATATTAAAAACTGCACTAGAATATCTGCATTATACTTTGAATTAGAGCTAGATTTACTACCTTCCAATTAATTATCATACTGCATAGAATGTTCCGTAACGTTTTTCCAGTCAAATGAACCTATACTAATACCGTTGAGTATATATTGTACAAGACACATATGTCCTATACTCAGTGTTAACATATTTATACCACATTTTAAGATATATCTTAATTGTTAACCTATTTAATACATTAATTTTAACTTAGACTTCTTGATTATTTGTACACATATTTTGTTCCAGTGGTATCATATTATGATGTCTTAGGTAGTTGAATCAAATCTTTATCATAACTTTCAATTATGTATCATATTATATCATATTGTATAGATCGCACCTTGCTGGTTTAGGTTAAAAAAAAATGTTTATATAAATGCATTTGAGTATTTACCGATTCAAGATTGATATATTTTGACATAAATTTAATCTTACAGGGGTAATATTTGGAAAATTCCAGCTATCAGAAAGGAAGACCGTGGGTCTTATACTTGTATAGCAGCAAACGGTTATGGCAAACCTTCTCGGCGTAGAATTGCCATACAGGTAGAATTTGCTCCAATCATTACTGTACCTAAACGCAATTTAGGACAATCTTTACACAATGATATGGATATTTCTTGTAATGTCGAAGCATATCCATCACCAGCAATTATTTGGATAAATAATAATGTACAACTCTCCAACAATCGACATTACAGGTTGGTAACCACCTACTTAATTGTTGAGAGTTTAAGATTGTTAATTTTATTCTTATGAACTTGGTTTTTGCTTTACATTTAGAATATGGGAATTAGCATATTCTACAGAATTTACCAAATCTATATTAAGTATTACCAACATTCTGTACCGACTATATGGCAATTACACTTGCAGAGCGATGAATAAATTGGGGAATGCCGAAGTTACAATTAACTTTCAAGGTAAATATTTTTTTTATTAACCTTATCTTTCAAATTATTTTCAACTTGTTTAGCTTGAATAAGAAATTAAGACAAAATTAAAAAAATATATTTCTCTTATTTTTAGGGTATTATTACATATTAAAAACTAACTTTTGACAACACACATGTCTTTGGCATTTATTTAAAACAACTTTCCGCCTTATCAGTTATTACACATAAATTATGTGTTTTCTTATTTATGCTAATACATGTTGTAACTAATAAGGCGTTTCTATACTTGCAGTATAACCAGGGCAAGTTTTAGGGGTGGGAGAGCTGGGTGCCAATGCATCATGGGTGCCTTCAGAGTTCAGATATTAATTTTTTAATAATTTATTTTTTCGATTGAATATTGGTAAATTAAGTTCCACTTAAAAATATGAAGATTATTTGAATATAAACAAACCTATCTATTAAATAATATAATATACTTATTAATATTATTATTATAAAAATGACTTTACTTTAAATTTATTTCAGTAATAAAAATTAATTAAAACAGTTTGTTTTTTATTCTGACTTCCGAGTAGAAAATACTTAACCTCAACTAGAGGGCGCATTAATTCTCCTTGCCAAGGGCGCATAGTTCCCTAAGACCCGGCCCTGAGTATAACATCTATGTATGCTATAATAGCTTTGTTCGTTTTGACAAAAAGTGTACACTTTTTCATAATAGTGTACACCTGAAGCGTTTGTTTTAGAAAAGTGTTGGCGTACACACTGTTTGTTTTGAAATAGTGTGGGTTTGGTGTGTACACTATCCACACCAACTAAAGTGCAGGTGTCGTACTTGATTTTTGGTGTGGAGCCAGTTATTATCATAAATATATTTCCTTATCACTCGCTACATGCTGACTGCCGAGATTAGTTTATACATTCGTATTTATAATTTAAATAAAGCACTATAAATGAATAATTATGTATTGATTTATATACCTTCATCATCATTAGAACAAAAAACAGCGGCAGGAACTTTACGTGCATCACTAACTTGTTCTAAAACAGTCTGATGACGAATCAAAAAACTGCATATAAATATCATCCATAATTTTAAAATCTATTAATCTGTTATTACAATTACAACTATTTAGAAATAATTTCTAATTTCTTATTTCAATTATTGGAATTTTAGATGATTGAAAATTTTATAAGTCGTTATCAATTATCATTTAATTACTATCTTTATCAATGAGCCGACTCTCACACCTGAAACGTTTGTTTTAAATTGGCACACCACACACCATACCCAACACTTCTACACTATAGTGTTAACATTTAGTTTTTAAAACGAACAAAGCTAATATCTGTTTTAGAAAATTTACACTTGTTTCATAATTTTAAATCATGATTTTATTTTAATATGGAGATACTTAGGTATTATTTTAATAGTTAATAAATTATTATGTAACTAATTTAATTGTTGATTTTACAGAAACAATATAACCAGTATGCCCACCAGCATGTAAAAAAATTTAAATAAGCCCAAGCACCACAGCTGCCTGTATTCATCATTGATGTTTTAAAGCACAATCATCATTTCTGTCATATTCTAAACATGGAATCAGCTGATAATCAATTGACAGTTGTACAAACAAATATTTTAATATTTATAAAAATATGTATTTTGTATAGAAAACACAACATTTGTTGAACTTTATGAATAATGTTTATCTTAAATTATATTTATTTATATGTTATATTCAATCATTAGTTTTACTTTTTCATATAATAAAGGTTTTTTTTTCAAGTCGTTGTTAAACTTAACTTTAGACGATATAATTAAATAAATGTTGTATTATTTTCAGTTTTAACAACACAACGATTTTGTAAATATTAGTTAAATAAGTTAATATGGAGTAAATATAATTAAAAATGTATTCATATGAAAATGTATTTACTAAGAATACAAGATCAATAATTAAAAAAAAAAAATGTTTTATTTGATTTTCAGTTTCATAGGTATATATTTAAAAAAAAAACAATTTGTCCTAATTAATACTTCTGACCAAACCTACTATGTATAATGTATATTAATATAACGATAACAACAATTAGGTATATTAATTTTCACCGGTTTTAGTATTTAGTATTTATCATAAGGTTTGTATTGTACTATTGTACCATATTTTATAGTATTTTATTTTAACCTCTGTATATATACAAATTAATAATGATCATATAATTGTAAAATGTATTATACCTACTATGCACGGTATTTCAAGCATATAAATAAGTCAACCATTGTTCATACATTTGTCAATGTTTATATCGACATTTCTAAAGAATATGACAAATAAAAATAATACTCTTTATTTTGTAAATATTATTCCAATGGTTATAACTTATAATAGTAACTTATAGAGGTTGTAGTTTCTAATTGTTTTCCCTAAGCTTTTAAAAATAATCTGTAATTTCTTAATCATGGAACTAAGTGACTCAGCACTTATTACTATATCGTCCAAATATGAGTACACATATTGATATCGTATTTCCTAACCATATCGAATTTGATAAATATTGCTTATTAATTACTACCGAATCGCCGTTATTGATGCCTTCGTTTGAGACCGAAATAGTTAGAATATTATTTCACCCCGGTGGTAAGTTTATTTTATTTTATTTATTTTGTTGCCAATTAATTATCATTTCGCCTTTCCTTAAATTAAGCGTCACATCATTATGACTAAAAAATGGTATCAATAGTTAAATTGATTTTAATAACAACTAACGTTTCTATATAATTCTCATTAAAACCTATTAATGTGGTTGTTGTAGTTTTTACCGGTAGGTACGTCGTCTTTTATTGCTATATAAATGTGTTGTACCATACATTTTATTGTTGTTATTACGATCCATAAACAAATGGAAATCATTAAACTGGTTATTATTATGTATCAAATGAGTCTTCTTCACTATTCTATAACTTAGAATTACATCTAGTACGCTTCTAAGCTGAATATTCACGTATTTAAGTTGGAAAAGCGATGTTTGTTGTTGACTGGTCTGTTCAGCGTTGACTTTGGATCGCGATTTCAGGCTGCGCTAGATGCGTCATCAAATAATACTCCACGGTACATAATTTCGTATTAAAAACGAAAAAAATAATTAACAATATATGGAATTAAACAAAAACGAGCAGACACTTTTCAACATGATCAAAGCATTCAAAGCACAGATTAAAGGCAAAAGAAAAATGAAAACACGTTTTTAAATTATAATATACATCACCCATTATCAATGGTTGTTTATATCACGGTAAACCGTGATTGTAACCATAGATATTAAAGAATGGATAGGCCATTTGTGCTTATCATACGGGAATGAACATGAAAAAATGTTGAGGTTATAGAGGTCTTAACACAAATAAATATATATATAACTATTGTATATAATTTATGATAAGACCTCTGCCAAAATGAGATACAATCATAAAAAACAGTCTTTCTCTTTTCCCTATTCCGGCCCCATGACCCTCTATTTTATTAATGTAGCCATGGTCTATCCATTCTTTAATATCTATGATTGTAACTAGAGTTAGCTCTTAACACTCAGAAATATTGGGGGTTAAAATCTGGGAGTAAAGATTTTCATTAACATGAAGTTATCACCTAACCCGAGGTCGTGAAATACGTTTTTCTTGCAAACTCCGAGTTACCAGTTACTCGCACTTTAACTCTAGATGGTGAAACCGGGCATTAGGGAATTTAAAACTATACTAACTGCTTAAAATAAATATATAACGAATATTCAATTTGAATATAATATGACGTGTTGTGTAGACATTCGTTGGTGTTAAATTAACATCAGTAATATATATTTTAAACATTTGTTCAGTTGGACGAACTACGTACATGATAATTGATAAATATTTTTTTATATATAATTGATTTTGTACTATATATAGCATCAATATTCACTATTTTAAAATAATAACTGGAAATACCTATATTAATGACTTGTGTTATCCTGTATTACCGTGATGGCAATTGACGACTATTTTCGTTTATATTTTTGGTGTTTTGCCTACCTACAGTGTTTAATTTTCAAATGTTCATAATTTATAATCGAGAGTGAAGTCGTTAAAACTGTCTCCTAGTTTTTTTAAGTAACCTATAATATAATAATAATACCTAATAATATAACCTAGTTCATGTGTCATCACTCATCATAATCATAAAACTGTTAATACAACATCTATAATATAGTCAGATTTATAATGTCCGATTTCCAACTAGTTTACCAGGTAAGTTGTCATTCATTTAGTACAGTACCTAACGAGTATTGTACTTTCATATAGGGTTGTTTCAGATTTTAATTTTAAATGTATATTATTTGATAAAAAAAATGATAATATTCATATAGTTATTATTGTAGGTAGTTATATTCACAGAATAAAACATTATTAAATGAATATAGTCTTTATATCCTGCGAATGATAATCAAAATTTGAATTTGGTTGATATTTCAACATATTCAGTTGATTGTGCCAATGTTTATTCATCAGACTTAACAACACAACAACATCAACCACCTAGAACATCAACTAGTCCTGTATCAAACGATACTACAAAACATTATTCGCCTTATTCAACGCCACATCAATTACCTCTGCCATTTCTACAAGCTCAAATAATCACCCAAAATATGGTACATATCTGCCCATGGATTGAACAAATGGGGTAAAATTATATCCATAAACTTAAGTTTCTGATATTGAAATAAGTATTTTTTTATTGCAGACAATATTACAACTACTGCATATGAGTAATGATGGGCGATACATTTTAGCAGATTCAGTTTCAAATAAAGGTCGTTTATCTTATGATGCCCAAAATTGTCTAACAAAGTTATTGATTAACTTTTTATTTCAAGATAAATGCAAGTATGTACCTACAATATATTATTTCATTATACTATATTAGTATTACTTTTTGCATAAATTATATTACATTTTAACATTGCTATTAAATTAATAAAACAAAATTGTTTTCTTAACTTAAATTAAGTCTACAAAATGGAGATACTTTTATTAGCCATACAGTTATTTTATAATAAAAAGCAATTTATATTATAACATACTATACAATTAGGTTGATAATTAAATACAATTTTATAGGTTTAGGCACCAAACAATAAAATTAGTAGGTAGGTATAATAATTTGTAAGTGTTTTTATTTTGTATACTTCAATATTATATAGAAGTTGTATTTACTATTTAGTTACTTGGTTAATTTATTAATCTATATTCTAGTAAATAGATTGTAAACAATTTCAAAAATAAAAATAAAAAGCTTAGATTGGATTACTAATGGCTTAATTGTCTCTATTAGAAAAAGAAATCAATTAGCTTATACTTTAAAAAAAAGACCTTTTGATAAAAATTTTAAATTAATATATATTAAATATAGAAACTTATTAACTCAATTAATAAAAAAAGCTTAATTATTACATTACCAGAATAAAATAACTAATGCAGGTAATGACTTTAAAAAACTATGGAATATAATAAAAGAAGTTTCTGGGAAAAAACTAATATTTTTACAATCAATAAAATTAGAGATAATTCTGGTAATTTAATTACTGACAATGTTGAAATTTGTAATATATTTAATAATAATTTTTCTAATGTTGGGCCTACCATAGAGAATCATTTTAAATCATCTGGTTTTAACTTTAAGTCTTTGACGCGGCTTCGGTAGTGAGACGGTAGGTCGGTAGTTGTCGGTTAGGTGCATGTGGTTTTTGGTGCATTCGTCACGAAGCGCACAACTTAAGTTAAATTAATAACTGTGAACACCGATTGTTTCTGGTAGTATGTGCCAGTTGGCGTTTATTTAGAAAAACGATGTACAAGGCGTACCCGTGGTCGGGTGACGAACAACGGTATCGCGTTTATTAAAACAATAAAACAGATTGACGCCGTGGGTCGTGTTTTTTAATACGATAGTTCAAAATACAAATATGAAAACGTAGTTCGGCGGACTAACGTAATTAAGTTTTTAAACAAAAAACAAAAGACGAATCAGGCAGTGCTGGTGGTCAGAGAACGAGAGAGATGTCGCCGGCAGCCGGCACTCGTCCGGCGTGACTCGCTTCCCCGTCCTACCTTCTGCCTTTTGGCATGGTGGGGGAGTCGACAGTGTCGCGCCGTCGTAGCCCGTGGTGGCGGTTGGTAAGGTGCTGAAAGGTAGCTCCGAGTGGGCGATTCAGGTCGGTGAATCGATTTAGATCGGAATGGAAAAAATCGATTCAAAAAAAATCGTTGCCCAAAAAATCGATTCTTAAAATAACGATTTTTTAAATAACTAGATGGTGCTTTTTGACATGTTCTAGGTCTCCCTTGTGACACCCGGGTTCATATTGATTCATATATAAAGGTTTTCCGTACTCATTAATTTCAGTGCGAGTACTCCCTACCTTAGTCCCTCTTGATTTCGGAGAGAGTAAACCACTGTAAGTGTTGTAGTCCTATAGGGCCTACATCAAAGCAGGGGCCTCATTTCAGTTTTTCTTAGGGTGGGGCAAAATTTTTACCGGCAATTTGATTATTTAGTTAAAATAATATGTGTATTGCAAAGGTCGAAAAAAGAATAACAAAACAAATATTTTTTTTAACTAATGCTATATCTATTAAGCAAGAAGAAAAATAAATAATACAGCTAAAAATAATATACTAGTTCAAAATATGATATAATAATTAAATTTAAATAAAATAGCAAAAAATAATATAAGTTTAAGCTTTTAAAGGATATCTACGAGATTTCATGTCTGCAAATAAATCAATAGCTTCCTGAAGATCAACTTTTGAAGCTTCATCACCTTCAACAGGAATCACTAGCAAATCGCTCAAGCGCTCATCAGTCATTGTTAGTCTTAAGCATGTTTTTATACGTTTTAATGACGAAAAAAAGCGTTCTTTAGAAGCAGTTGATACAGTTAGTGTCATTAAAATAGAAATAATTTTTAGGGTCTCTGGAAAAGAGTTTGGAATTTCCAACAATTTTTTAGATATGGAAAAAAGATCATGAACTCCATCTTCACGGGTATTATTTTTGTTTTTAGAAAGTAGGTTTTTGGCAATAAGAAATTCAGACTCTAGGAATATAGGATTAATTTTGAAGTAATTATAGTGATCCAAAAAAGCTTGAAGATAGGGACTTTTGAAGTTAAAGTAATCAGGATCCGAAGAAATAAATAAAGTACAGGTTAAAATAATATTGTTGTTAGTGTCATTAAAACGTTTGTCAAGTTCATTCATAAATCTATAAAATAAATAATTAATATTAATTAGTAATTACATAATAACCATGCTAATAAATATTGTATAAAAAAATATAATAAGCGTTGTATAGAAGAATGAAGTTATGCATTGAAAATTAATCTTTTGTTTAAATTATACGTGCAATAATGCCAAGTAAAAAACAAAATAAGTCCCTAGTTACATTGGTAAGCAATTATTTTAATCATATTTTCAAATCATAACTCATTTAAAATATTTAAACTGTAATAACACTGCAGAACACTTGCCTATCAATTGCTGAATAAAACAATACTTTTAATTCATCCACTGAATTATTTAGTGTGTTATTTAAAGTATTCCCTACTGATGATTCAGTAAAGTAGTCTTTGAGCCTTTTATTGAAACATAGTGATCTGCTAGATCTGTGATTTGTAGGAATTCCATTTTTAGTAGCAATTAATTCAGCATTTTTTATTGTATCAACCCAAAATGTATCACTCCGCATTTCATTTAAACTTTGTCTAGTACATTTTATCAGATCAATAGCTGCCGGTAAAATAATACTTGAATTTTGAAGTTCTGTAGAAGCACAATGTATAACTTTAAGAAGAGATTCCATCGCAATCGCCATAATAATAAAAGAAAATTTAGACATTTCATTTAAAATTCCAGTTGCCCTAGCCGTTTCATCACCTTCTTCACCAAGTATACCAAGTACTTCAATTATTTCTGTATATCTTGAATTAATTTTACTTAATGAACTATACCAATAAGCCCACTTAGTGTCCACTAAACGAGGTCCGTCAGCCTGGCACCCCAAAGTCAAAATGTCGGGGTCAAATCAAACTAAAAAATTAGTAACCAATTCGTAACAATTTGTAACCACAAGATCAGAATTTGTAACCTAAGTCTTAACCCCAAAATTTGTGTTTCCATTTTCGGGTGCTGGGATGACGTCAGCCTGGCACCCCAAATTCAAAATTTCGAGGTCAAACCACACTAAAAAGTTAGTAACCAATTCGTAACAATTCGTAACCACAAAATAAAAATTTGTAACCTAAATCTTAACCCCAAAATTTGTGTTTCCATTTTCGGGTGCTGGGATGACGTCAGCCTGGCACCCCAAATTCAAAATTTCGAGGTCAAACCACACTAAAAAGTTAGTAACCAATTCGTAACAATTCGTAACCACAAAATAAAAATTTGTAACCTAAATCTTAACCCCAAAATTTGTGTTTCCATTTTCGGGTGCTGGGATGACGTCAGCCTGGCACCCCGAATTCAAAATTTTGAGGTCAAACCACACTAAAAAGTTAGTAATCAATTCGTAACAATTCGTAACCACAAAATAAAAAATTTTAACCTAAGTCTTAACCCCAAAACTAATTTTTTTCTATATGGGGTGCAAAATTTGAAATTTCAACAAGAATTCAAAATGTCGGTGTAAAATCAAACTAAAAAATTAGTAACCAATTCGTAACAGTTTGTAACCACAAAATTAGAATTAATAACCAAAGTCTTAACCCCAAAAATAATTTTTATATATATATAGGGTGCACAATTTGAAATTTCAACAAGAATTAAATATTTTGTGGTCAAACCATACTAAAAAATTCGGTGCATACTAGTTGCCTCCCAAAATATACGAATTGCCTCCCATCCTTATCGTAAATAAAAAGGTTAATATACACTAGTTGCCTCCGTTGACCAGGTAGTTCATAATAATATTCGAGTTGCCTCCCAAGAATTTTCACACTAGTTGCCTCCCGTAAAGAATTAAGTAGTGGTTCATAAGCCTCACTAAAAAAAATCGGATAAATAGATGCATTTATAAAATTAACATAATTAATAAATATTTTATGTTTTATTAGGTATAATATACGACATTTATATACAAATTACACAACTATAAAAATAATAAATCAATTAGGTAGTCAATAAGTCAAACATAATAGGTAAAAAACAAAAAGTTATTTATGGCATTACTTTGGCTTATATTTTTTAGCCAATATTTGTAGGTACTCAAAATTTGATATTTTTTTTTTCATTCAGCTTTTTATTTGAGTATCAATGAAAATTATTTTGTTTCTAATTTGTAATCGACCATGTAGTTTAGTCTTATTAGAACTTTGTATTAAAATTACAGACTCAGTTTGAATTAGTTTTAAAACTTCGATAAATTTATATATATTAGGATGCGGCGACTCAAAATAGCTATTAAATTTGCTATGGAAAGATTCGCATGCATTGGTTGTGCGCTGAATGCTTGAACTTTTTTCTGCCCATATATGAGGTGGAAACATTGAATCCTCTGATATATATGTATCTACTAAATAGTCCGATTTTATCATCTAAAGGCTGTATGTTTGCTAGTTCCATTGAAAACATATCTCCGACTTCCGCTGGGTTTTAAAATTATAGGCCAAATATGCACGTTAAGTATTCTCTAATCGAATCGTTATTATAGTAATTCGAAGCTAATCCAAGTGACTAAATTTTACGCCACCAAGCTTGGCCAAGATGAAATCGACATCCTCTTATAGAAATATTTTTCCATATGCATGTTATAGAATTGTGTATGGCTTTTTCAAAATCAAAATCAATATAAATTATGTTTGGCTTAAAATGACTATCTATTTTTAAGCACAACGTATTTAATACATTAAACGTACCAGTATATGTTTGTTCACTTCTATCTTTTAACAAAAAAAAAGCAAGAGGTATGTAATAGTTATTTATTAATCCATGAATAGTAAATAATTGACTGAAATATTTGGTGCAATATTGAAATGTTCCATCTACATAAAACGTATCGATTTTTACTAGGAATTCCAAATTCGTTTTTGTAGAAAATAAACCAATTCCGCTTTCTATATCATTGTGTAATAAATATTGTTAATTTTCGTAAATAATATCTATCTCATCTAAAACATGAACTTAATTTCTCGTTTTAGGTAAGCTTAAATATCAAACATAACAAAAGTCATAAATTACGATTTTGAATTAGGTTACTAGTACTAGACCTTTTTCGTTTACGATAAAATTTAGGGTACGTCGGGTGGCAAATAGTATATAGTCGGGAGGCAATTAAAATTATTGACCTTTCTGACTTCGGGAGGCAACTAGTGTGCGCCCAAAAAATTAGTTACCAATTCATAACAATTTGAAGGTGTGTTACACAACAAAGTCAAAATGTCGAGTTGAAAACCGATTGGTATTATATAATCTTTTATGTAACAATTTGTAACCACAAAAAAAAATTGTAACCAACCTGATGCCCCGAAAACCACGATCCAAATTCCGGGTGCCTAATTTATTATGTCAATAATATTTTTAGAATTTCTTTGAGATTGTCTTATTTTTAAAAATGCATATTACATATACAATAAAATCCCTTGTTCATAAACTTGGATAGTTCTAACTTAATCTCTGAATAAATTAAAATGGTAGGAGACAATTTTGGTTTTCAAAGTATAATTTTTATCTATAAATTTAATTAATATTAGTAGATATAACTTTTATATGTGTGGAGTATGTTCATTCCTATTTCCTATACTAAACCACAATACAAAAATTAAATGAACAGTGGAAACCTATAAAAACTTCAAAATATTAACGTACAAAGCAATTATTTAGTAGATCAATGGGGCTTCTGATTACTTGTACATCAATGAAAGAAGCAGAACCAATTTTAGAAGCTATTTTTGTAATAGCTTTAAGTAAGTATGATGGCCCAATTACAACTAACGCAAAAGGCATTAAAACAAGATACACCATGTGCCAAAAGCAAAAGGTTTCTACAATCTTTAATCAGTTGTAATGTCACATTAGATCCATTCAGCAATGAGTTGGAAAATAGATAACATTCATATGTGTGTAGCATGTTCATTCCTATTTTCTATACTAAACCACAATACAAAAATTAAATGAATAAGAGCTAAATAGATAACTCTAAGAGCTCTAATATCTATCATATTTTTGAGCATTTGAAACTTATATTATAATTACTTTCTATGAAGATTAGTAACATAATAAATATTATATTCAATAAATTGTAGTCTATAGTCAAAGTATACTCCATGATATTAAATACAATAAACTCTATGCAAAGGTTTGTTTATCACCATAGAAACGAATAAAATTAAAAAATTTCATTTCGTCCGCTCAGAAAAGTTTTTTTTTTATCGAATGCATATCTGAGGACCGAAGAAATGATGGACAAACAACCACCACCGCAATGCTGACCTACTCTTTTTTTAATGTTTAGAGGTTTTTAGGATTGTTGACTTGTTGAGTCACTTTTAAAGATTTTGAAACCAAATTTTTTTATTAAATGGAACTATAGCTATGGTAAGTAAATATATGATCTAAACCTGAGGAAAAAAAAAATAATTACGCGTAGAAATAATTGTTTTTTCAACAGTATAAGATAACAATAATTTCTCAACCAATACAATACACTTGGTTCAAATAATTCTGAAAAATAAACTTGCCTACCCTCCATACTAACTAGGAATTTATGTGACCTTTATAGCTTTTAAATTATAATAATTCATATACAAGATCTTGTTGACTTAACTGTAAGGTATCTTTTGTAAATCAGATTAGTTTTAAAAAAATGAAGACAATATCATCTCATTAGAACATTGATTTTTTACCTACCTATATACAATTTTAAAATATTCATTTATTTAAAAATCTTAAAATATTACAAATAATATTTTAATTGGTGACTATTTCTGTGTGTTATTTAAAAATAAAATACCTAATTAAATCATTGTAAAAAATATATAATCAATGTTGGTTTATTAATATATTTTAATATATTATAATTATTAATATATCTAGATATGAATACTGTAAGCTAGGAATATGTTATGTAGGAAGTTAAAAAAAAAACAAAAACTAATATATTTGGTCGAAAAGGCCATAACAAAAAAAAAAACTTCATACAGTATATATTAGAATCTCTACATTTATTTTCCGATTTCCTTTTATCCCGGAAATGTGTTCTTTTGTGTCGTCAAAACATTTCCAGACATCATGAGACCTCAAGCAGAACGCTGTGTAATGGCCACTGGGTTGTCTTAAATTTTTTTCACCAGAACCACTAAATGCTATAGCACCTCGTTATTTAAAATGAATATTCTGTATTTGTATTTGTTTTGGTATATTTTTAAGTTTCCATGTAACTTTCTCAGCATAGTTCTGTTTGACTTTTTGCACTTCTGAATTAATGTTGCTAGAACTAGTTGATGCCGTAAAATCTAGAAACAATATATAGGTATAGGTATTTTCCATATTATTAAAAAAAAAAAATGTAAAAACATTCAAACTAAAAGTTTAATTTAGTTTATAAATTGGTATGAATCTCATTTCATACATATTATTATATTTATTAAATATTTAAATAGTACACCTAGATTAATAGTACTATAGTTTCATTAATTGAATATAGGTAGTTACCTATTCATGATTTATATATTATATTTTTAATTTTTAGTTAATGATTTACCTTTAGGTAATGATAAGAGTTCCACAATTATATGATTAGTGGCTTTTATCGTTTCTTCTCTTTCTTGGTTACAGTTAGTAGATACACATAATTTTGTTAACGGCATAAAAAATATTTCCAGTTCTTGTTGTAAGTCAATATTATCACTACGACAGGAAATAGAATTGTAGTTCCTTTAGATTTTCTTTCCGGATCAAAACATAAATTATTTTTACATCGATCAAACCGATTAAAGGAATTCAGATCTTCTAGCAATTTTTCACACATTGAACCTCCTGTGTCTTCTATATCAAATAAAGTAATATCTCCAATCAACTGTTCGAGTGATAAAATGTTGAGCGAGCAAATAGACTCTATTTTTGTACATCTCTTTAGAAGGTCTGTTACCAATCATTCTTAAAACAAATTTAGCAGTTTCATTTTTTGTGTTGGATAAAAATTGATTGTAGTGTTTACTTTCTGCAGCAGCAACAGCTAAAATTGATAACAATGAGTCCGCAGAGCATGTATTACTTAATAAAACTTTATCAAAACCATGTACGAATAAAGGTTTATTATTATAGCTGGAACCATTTTTAAGTAATGCTATTTCACATATAGGTCCTCTTTCATTTAAATTAATATTCTCAAATCCTTGTTGCTTTACCAAAAATGATTTTGATGACCGAGGCTTTGATATTGATCCTTGATTTTTCCAGTTTTCAATTGCATTTACTTCTTCAAGTGGCTCTATTGTATTATCACACGGTAAACTATTTAAACCAACAAAATCCTGTGGAATTTCATAATTTGTATTTGAAGTGTCTTTATTCGTTGAGACACATTTTTTTGACTGTAAAATAAGATGATCACCCCTATAATATTTAACCAAATTTTCAACAAAATTATCAGCTCTAATTTTCATGATTTCATTCTTAAATACTCTATTTTTTTAAGTTACTTTCAATTCTACTGCTTGATGCAGTTTTTTCACCATAACCAAATATTCCAACCATTATACTAGACCAGCATGGGAAAAGTTTCATAGAGTTAACCACAAGAGGTACTAATTCTGGAATGTATTGTGCATTGTCAAATTCTCCTTCGATACCAATAATTTGAGTCTCACATTTGGTTAAAATAGACAATGCCCAATCTTTGAATGAACTTATTAAATCAAAATTATTTATCAAATCATCAGTCTCTAATAAATCTTGTTCAAAATTGTTATTTTCCAATTCATTACTGAATGGATCTAAGGTGACATTACAACTGATTAAAGATTGTAGAAACCTTTTGCTTTTGGCACATGGTGTATCTTGTTTTAATGCCTTTTGCGTTAGTTGTAATTGGGCCATCATACTTACTTAAAGCTATTACAAAAATAGCTTCTAAAATTGGTTCTGCTTCTTTCATTGATGTACAAGTAATCAGAAGCCCCATTGATCTACTAAATAATTGCTTTGTACGTTAATATTTTGAAGTTTTTATAGGTTTCCACTGTTCATTTAATTTTTGTATTGTGGTTTAGTATAGGAAATAGGAATGAACATACTCCACACATATAAAAGTTATATCTACTAATATTAATTAAATTTATAGATAAAAATTATACTTTGAAAACCAAAATTGTCTCCTACCATTTTAATTTATTCAGAGATTAAGTTAGAACTATCCAAGTTTATGAACAAGGGATTTTATTGTATATGTAATATGCATTTTTAAAAATAAGACAATCTCAAAGAAATTCTAAAAATATTATTGACATAATAAATTAGGCACCCGGAATTTGGATCGTGGTTTTCGGGGCATCAGGTTGGTTACAATTTTTTTTTGTGGTTACAAATTGTTACATAAAAGATTATATAATACCAATCGGTTTTCAACTCGACATTTTGACTTTGTTGTGTAACACACCTTCAAATTGTTACGAATTGGTAACTAATATTTTAGTATGGTTTGACCACAAAATATTTAATTCTTGTTGAAATTTCAAACTGTGCACCCCATATAGAAAAAAATTAGTTTTGGGGTTAAGACTTAGGTTACAAATTTTTATTTTGTGGTTACGAATTGTTACGAATTGATTACTAACTTTTTAGTGTGGTTTGACCTCAAAATTTTGAATTCGGGGTGCCAGGCTGACGTCATCCCAGCACCCGAAAATGGAAACACAAATTTTGGGGTTAAGATTTAGGTTACAAATTTTTATTTTGTGGTTACGAATTGTTACGAATTTGTTACTAACTTTTTAGTGTGGTTTGACCTCGAAATTTTGAATTTGTGGTGCCAGGCTGACGTCATCCCAGCACCCGAAAATGGAAACACAAATTTTGGGGTTAAGACTTAGGTTACAAATTCTGATCTTGTGGTTACAAATTGTTACGAATTGGTTACTAATTTTTTAGTTTGATTTGACCCCGACATTTTGACTTTGGGGTGCCAGGCTGACGGACCTCACTAAACGTTCTAAATGTAACACGGGTAAATTGTGGTCTTTTTGAACTTTAATAAATAACTCATATCTTGTTTGTCCATTCATTAAAAACTTATAGGCACGTTTCTTGCACTGTATTAAAAAAATTTACAACGAATGGTATATTTTGCAAAGTTTGAATTAAACATATATTGCGTGTGACACTTTACTGCGTATTCGTTCTTGAACACCTGTATACGCAGGTAACCTCATAACTGATGCACCATCGTAACATTGTGCAACACATTTGTTTATATTTAAATTATTTTCTGAGATTATATTAATTATTTGATTAAATAAGCTTTCAGAATCAGATTTAACCATGTGGTAACAGTCAATGGATTTTTCATGTATATTAAAATTATCATCCAGAAACCTTATAACAAAACTCATTTGTTCTTTCTTAGATTTATCTTTTGTCTCATCCACCATAATTGTAAAAACATCAAATTTATTAATTTTCTTTAATATTTGTTGTCTTGTGCATTTTGCAATTATTGCAATTAAATCATTTTGGTGATTTGATCAATCAAAATGCCGACATACAAAACAAAACAGTGAATCTTTTGATACTGAATATTCTAACCATTCATAATCTTTATAATATTTTGTATTGAATCGGCGACCGTTAGTAACAGGAAATTTTACCAATTCAGGTTGAACAGGACTGTCATTTTTTGAAATAGAAATGTCATGAAAAATATTTCCATGTCCAGGAACAATTGTATGGTTCTAAAATGTGATTTAAAAATTTAAAAAAAAATGAATCAGATAAATTAATTGTTAATCATTTCACCTACTAAAGTTATAAATCCTGGTTCTGAATTCTTAACCAATACACTTTCTTTTTCTATTTCTACAGGCAATACAGATTTTTCTATGTCTTTAACCAACGAACATTCTTTTTCGATAGGCAACGGCAACAATGACACTTTAAAATTGTCTTCAATCAACATTACATCATCCTTTTGTTTTTGTAAATTAAATAATGAAATAAATAGTTGAAATTGTATTTATTGCAATTTTTACAACTTACGTTTGATGAAGCTGAAGCAATTGGTCTAACAGAAAAATTAAGTTTTCTCTGTTTTGAATCGTTTGCTATTACTTTGAGCTGGGCTTTTCTTTTGTCACGCATTTTTTCTGCTCCACCTTTTTTTTATTGTTTAAACTATTAGACGTTGAAGTGGACAATTCGTATTTTCAACCTTAAGTAGTTAAGTACCAAGTAGGTAGTCAAAATAGTCAAATCACTCAATTGTCTCAAATCTGTTATATTAAATGATGAAATTTTGATAAGTGATAATAGTCTGTTACGATAACCATTGATAATAAACATCTATTATCAATCGATAACAAACTATTCACAAATCACAATATTATGATAACAGAGTGTTATCAAAACTAAATACCCATAAATCATAATCACGGTTGGAGGTATCTAGTATCTACTCCGTAATCTTAACACAGATTTTTAAACTAACGTTAGGCGAAAAACGTTTACAATTTCATAACTTAATAACTTAAATATGTTTCTAAATTGCTTAAAAATGTAGCGTTTTACGATTATGAGTTTAGGGCGAGTGATCCACTATGAGTAAGGCTCTATAAATATTTTTATATAGCTCTACTATGAGCGAAGCCACCATTCCAGCGGCCCTGTGCCCCTATCGTACCAAAAATTTGACTGGCCCACAAAAAATCAAGGGTGGGGCAATTGCCCCCGCCTGCCACCCCCCCAAATGACGCCACTGCATCAAAGCAACGGGAACTCGCCACTTCAATGGACAGTGTCAATGGACAGTTGGTCCAATTGGTCACAGGGGGGGAGGATGATACACCTTAATTTTAAATTTTTTTTTTAATTTTATTGAATAAATTACCAAATTTAAAATGTTTTAACTTACCATAATATACAAGGTGTATCTTATGTCATTGTACAAGGGGTTTTTTGACGATTACGGAACGATGATATGGAATTTCGTTAAAACGAAAAAAGACGTGTTTCTTTATTTTTAACAAGCATTTTTTTTATAACAATTTCAAAATTTTTAAACACGCAGGTGTACCAATAGCAAAATCAACTTTTTTTTTTCAAATGGTAACCACTTTCTTTTTTAATGGATTCTGGTCAAGCTTTTTTTTCTGAACATTTTGGTAGTCGAATCGTTAATTTTGGTTCGCTAGTTTATTAACTATCGTCCTCCAAAGATTAGTAAAATATGCATTAATACCTTTAATTGAAATAATGGGTATAGGTTTAATTTACAAGAGCTAAACAATTTTTTCTTATAACTACCATTTGATACACTACAATAGTTGAATCGGTAATCTAATGACACCCTCAAAAAAATAAATAACAAACAATTGTTTGTAAACATACTTCATTATTTTTATTTTAACATACGATCATAAAAATCAATATTATTATTTTAATATCCAAAACTAAAAATGATGGAAAGGGATGAATTACAACTCCTAAGTTCATATTTTGGATGCGATACCATTATAGGGATTCTATGGTTAAAATATCAAGTTTATTACTTTATACCACTACGAAAAGAGCACCACAAAACATTGCACTTTTTTCGTTGCACATATTAATGTCAACAATCGAAAACCATTTACCAATTTACCATAATTACCTTAGCCACCTACCTAATTAATAACTCAAATTTATGATATTGTAAGAAAAATAACTGTGATGAAAAATATTTAAAGTAATTATTAATTACGGTTATAATAATAAATTAAAATAATAATATTGATTTTTATGATCGTATGTTAAAATTAAAATAATGAAGTATGTTTACAAACAATTGTTTGTTATTTTTTTTATTTTTTTTTTTGAGGGTGTCATTAGATTACCGATTCAACTATTGTAGTGTATCAAATGGTAGTTATAAGAAAAAATTGTTTAGCGCTTGTAAATTAAACCTATACCCATTATTTCAATAAAAAGAATTAATGCATATTTTACTAATCTTTAGAGGACCATAGTTAATAAGCTAGCGAACCAAAATTAACGATTCGACTACCAAAATGTTCAGAAAAAAAAGCTTGACCAGAATCCATTAAAAAATAAAGTGGTTACCATTTGAAAAAAAAAAGTTGATTTTAATATCTTACCTTATTTACAATGGTTCTAGCTACCTCAGCAAAATCATTGCCATCTGTCATTACATCAGGATCGTCAACATTTTCTTCGTGTGGTTCTGTGGAACTAGTTGATGCCACTGAGTGAGATATTCGACGAACCTTACTGACAACAGCACCCTTGCTTTGTTTAATTGAAGGATGATTTATTTTAATGTGGTTGCATATATTATTTGTGTTACCACATGAATTGACCGAAGCGTGACATAATTTTCATGTCACAACTTCTACATTCGACATTTTTTCAAAATATTCCCAAATCACACTCCTGGCTTTCGACGACATCATGTGCGATTGTGCGAACTGCAAAAATTAAAGTCGGACTTCGGAGGTACGAACAGTACGAAGTACGAGAACGAAAAGATGGCTGGCCGCTGGCGGAAAAACGAAATTACTCAGAGAACGATTCACGAATGAAACTGTGGTTATCAGGTTATGCAGGGTGGCCAACACCTCCGTCCAAATATGCACGGTGTCAATCGGCAGTAAGCCAGTAGCCATAAACGAGGAAAAAAAATTCCCGATTCTTATCGAATCGAATCGGTATGTCCAAGAATTGATTCAAAAATCGATTCTTTGCAGAATCGATTTTTTAAGCACATCACTGCCTCCGACGTCTGTACTTTGTACTGAGCGTCGTTGCGTACCGTATCATCTTTTGAATATCTTAACAACAAATGTAATGTATCAGATTCAATTTATGTTAATGAAATAAATAATATTGAAATATTGAAAATCTATTGAAATCAATAAAGGACCATTCTTCCTTTTATGAATCAGGTTTATCTAATTATATTTTACTACAAGTTGCTCAATCTATATCATACCCATCCTATCTTTTCAATCTTGCAATTTCTCTAGGTACATTTCCTAATAATTTCAAAAATGTGTTATTCTTCCTTTATATAAAGCAGGTGATTCTAAAAATATCTCTAACTATCATCCAATAGCACTATCCTTAACCATATCTAAGATATTCGAAAAATGTATAAAATTTAGTATTCTACAGTTTTTAAACAAAAATAATTTCTTCTCAAAAAATCAATTTGGATTTTTAAATGGTAGATCAACTAATGATGCTTTATTTCTTTTAAATCAATTTATACATGACAGATTAGACAATGACTAAGGTTCTAGGATTGTTTCTAGATGTTAAAAAAGCATTTGATAGTGTTAATCATAAGATACTTTTAAAAAAACTTTATTGCTGTGGTTTAAGAGGTAAAATGTATGATTTATTAAAATCCTACCTATCTAAAAGAACTAAAATAGTAAAATTAAAGAATTCAGTAAGTACATCGCTTGATGTAACACATGGTGTTCCTCAAAGCACTGTTTTTGGCCCTCTATTATTTATAATATATATAAATGGTCTTTTAAATATCAATGTTGATGCTGAAATAATTTGCTATGCAGACGATACAGCTACATTAGTTCATAGTAGTAGTACAAAGTCATTATATATAAAATCAAACAATGTTATTAAAGATATTAAAGATTGATTCGATAATAACTTATTAGAATTAAATCTTAATAAATCTAAATATATTCACTTTAATATTAACTCAGTCGTAAATAATCCAGAACTAAATAACTACATTCATTTAAATGTCAATCTGGTATTTGTGATAATTGTGTTATTCTAGAGAATTCTAATTATATTAAGTACTTAGGCCTCACCTTGGATTGTAAATTTAAATGGAATTACCATATTAATATTCTTAAAAATATTATTCGAAAATTTTTTTATGTATTTCATGATTTGAGACATATATTTAGTACTGATATGAAACGTATAATTTATTTAGCTTTAGTACAATCTATTTTATGTTATGGTATTGTTTTTTGGGGACGATCGTATGAGTCTCATACTCATTTAAATATTACTTTAAATAATGTAATTCAATTTATATTCAATTTACCAAGGCTTACCAATAATGAATTTGTTTACAATGTTTTTAATCTACTTAATATTAGATGTTTATATTATAAGAACTTATTACTCACATATCATAATTTAAAAAATAATACTGTTTATATTGATCATATTTATAATACGCGTTATAAAACTAATATTAAACTATATGTTCCTCTATACCATAAATAGTTTGGCATTAAAAGTGCTATTTCAATTGCAATCAGATTATGTAAATACTTAAAATAAATATATGTAATTTTAAAAATGTAAAAGATTTGAAATTGTACTTAAAAAACATTGATCTTACACAAATAGATTTATGATTATCGATAAATAACATATGATATAATTATGAAAATTTTGTTTTAGAAATATGTTTGTAAATTGTCAATAATTGAATTCAATTAAAACTCCCCATCACAAGCTATGCTTATAGGGGAGTTGCAAATCTTTGTAATTTATCTTATATATACCTATACTTTGTACTATCTTTTTGATTTTTGTAATATATACTATTATTATTATTATTATTATTATTATTATTATATATGTATAGATAGATAATAGGTCGTATGTCTATAAAAATCAGTGACAGTGAAAAAAAATTAAGGTAACTTCCGAACAGAGTAGCAAAAAAATCCAATATGGGTAACCATAAGGTTAGCTAGAGTATTTTTTTAAGCTGGATTATCGTTCATTAAATAGTCAAAATACAAAATAGGTTAGGTTATTTTAGTGAACTAATGAGATTTTGGAGTAAATTATTAATTACTAATTCCACTAGAACCTTTTACTTTTAGTTAATTTTAAAATCTAAATAGGCATCACTTACCTATACTCTATTCAAAATAAGACCGTGACCAGGCGGCGACCAGTTTTCGTCTGGTGGAGGTCAGACATATGGTGAAATGCCGTCCCCACCACGGCGGTGCGTCGGGCTCTGCCACGAAACAAAGCCACGCCCATGCGCACAACTGGGCCGCCCGGTCACGGTCTTATTTTGAATAGAGTATAGTTACCTGGTAGATTTGTATCATCTTCGATCTGTTGTTGCAAATTACTACCGTTTAACACAGTAAAATGTTTTCTCTTTAAATGGTCCTAGACGATTTCTTACAATGCTTACAAATGACCTCGTCAGGGGTATTTGGGCTCCTTGCCCCTTATAAAATGCTTCCAAGTGATTGAACAATTTAACTTTGGGATCGACATTTTAAAGACAAAAATAAAAATCCAACCTCGATAGTTGAATGATGAATATTCGAGATTCATTCGAATCAAAATTATCATGGTTAAATATTATTTAACCTAACCTATGCTGTATTACCTACATGAGTATTGAGTCCATAGAGTAATATAGAGAGGATCTAGTCTATACCATATGTGTTCAGAAAAATGACAAATTAAATAGGTATGTCAGCAACTCGTGATACGCATGTCTGTGACGTAAGCATTTCTCCAACAGGTTGATCGGCGGAGTGGTGGTGGAGTCTTCGGCGTCCCCCCCAATACAACCAACCCTTTTTTACTGATTTTAATACTATGTAACTATATATTTTAAAATAGCATTTCTACGGTAAAAAAAAATAAATTGAACAGTACCAATATGGCAATATAGTATAATAAATATTAAAATTCCAAGATTTAAACGACTACCTCTATTTTAATTACATTGAACTACGTTTTTTTAATGTTTCGCGTTACACAACTCGTAAGAAAGTTATTCAAAATTTTGATTTTTGATTACGATATCCAGAGAACACGTTAATAAAATTAATATTTTTTACTGAGGTCAGTTGACCTTCTTTTTTTATCTCCGTAATATTTTATAATAGAAACAGCTATTACATTTTCCAAAAATTGAAAATTGAAGATTTTTGTTTTTCGAAAATGTTTAAAAAAATACTATATTCCAAAAACATTGAATTTCGATTTTTTTAAAAATTCAAAATAGACTTTGGATGTAACTTATTATGATACACAATTTAATTTCCGATGCCTATAGCCCTATATATGTATTACCTGACTAAGGGTTACTCAAATGTTAACTATGCAATTTGTATTACTTATAGAATATTGTCAAGATGATGATGCAATATATGACAATATTGAAGTATTAGAAGCTTCCATCATGGACAATTCAAACGGCTTATTACATATTACTCCTTCACGAACCGAGGCAGCCTCATGTAGTCAATCTGAAAACCAACCTATCACAAATGTAAAAAAAAAAAAAAGTAAGTAATTAAGAATTACTCATATTATACAATTTTTTGTCTAATATTGTATTAATTTAATTTGTTATATTAATAAAGATGTTAAACTTAACACTCAATTCAGTACAGCACTAATGTTTAATCTTTCCGACATTTTTGGCATAATAACATGTATACTTAAATTATAATCTGGACTCTACTGTCCTAATACAAGCTATGCTTACAGGGACTGTTGCCTTCTGTCTATTGTCTTATTTTTGAAATGTATTGTATTCTTATTTGCATAAATAAAATAAATTATTATTATTTTAATAATATTTTGATACAATATTCCCATTGTACAATAATGTGTTTAAAACGCATTCAATAAACTTATGAATAAGATAGTACAATAGTAAATATTGTATGTTGTGGTAACACTGGAAGTACACCTAGTTTGCTTAAAATCTCTTTCGTAATATTACTCTATATTACTCTGAGATTTAGTCTTATACAATCTTGTTCAATCGATGGTTCAAAATTTCGAAGGTTAAAAAAAATTTTAAAAAAATTTGATAGTTTGATTAGTTTTCAATAGTTCTATAGTTTTTCGGTGGTCGATTATTATTGGTCGTGCATTTGCCATTTTTAAACAAAAATTATTCGATAGTTTCATAAAACGATTGAATAACTAGATAGTTAAAACTATCGAATAGTTCGATAGTTTTCACTTGGTTGAGCCCATCACTAACTGTATACCTACGTCTGTTTGACAACGTTTCCATGTTCCCAAAATTGTTTGTTTATTTAATAGTTAAAATATTAAAATATGCATTGGCTTTATCCAAATTTAAACAATTTGTTAGATTTTAAAAATTACTTGATTCAATTGAAGTCGTCAAGATGTTGAAATCAGAAACACAGCTGCCTCCAGTCATAGAATCTGATAATACAACAAGTGTAGAAGTCATATCGTTGAATCAAAAATTGTCTACAGCATTCTGCAAAATATGCTATTCTGGAGGAAGTTGTGAACAATTAATACACCCTTGTTTTTGTAAAGGTAATTACATTATTTTGTGTGATTCTTTTAGTTATCAAGAAGAAGGATTTTTATAATCACTAATATTGGCATGAACAAGGTAATTGAAGCCATTTAATTGGCCGCATGTAAATTCCACCGATTGATATTAAATACCTAAGTGTTTATATAACTTTCAGATTATTTTGGTTACAATATGAAATACTTATGAGAAACTTTATTTTAAATGTTAAATCCTTAGAAATTCAAAATTTAAAATTTTATACATTTTTAAATACAAAATAATTTGCAATTTATCGTAATTTTGATGAATTTTGTCACTTATAAAATGGCCTTTTTTTCGGTGAATTATCAATAAAGATTGATTAACAATTTTTATTTAATCCATGCCATTTCCCATTAGAGCAGGGATGGCAAATAAGTGGTATGCAAGAAATTGCCGATGGTACCCGAAAGACTTTCATGTGTCTATACATTGAGAGTAACAGTGCATATTAACCTGACATAAAATAACCTTTCAAGTAATATGAAGTAAAATGTTTCTAAAAATCAATAAAAGTTGATTTTTTTAATAATTATTTAATAATTTTTCTACGTTATTATCATTCATTTTTAATTTATATTTTGTAAAAATTCTCTTGTGTTAAAAAATATAATTAGTGGCACAACTGATTTTTTTTTTCAATTGTTTCCTTAATTGGCACTTTAAGCAAATCCTATTTGCCTACCCTGCATTAGAGGATTGATATTTCCTCAAAAACTAATTTTTCTTTAAAATCCTAGAAAAGTATTCCTCAAAAAGATATGGTAAATCTCGTGAATACTTTAATACGTCCAATTAAACTCTTGAAATTTCCCTTTACATGCAAGATATTTTCTAGAAAACTATAATCTCTAAAATAATACTAGACAATTATTAATAAATCAATGATATTTTAAATTAGAAGATTGATATTCCACAGAAAAGCGTAAACCTCAAATAAAATTCTGCCATTTCCACAAAAATACCATTGGGCTCATCTTTAAATTGTAATGCTTATTAATGATTACATTCATACAATTCATCGTTCATGAGACAAATCGAAATCCGATAATCATAATTATAAATAATAGTAGGAATGTAGGATTACAATGAAATGCTTGATTTATTAATTTTTTTTTTAGCTTTTTTCTGTACGATTATTATTTACTATAATATATGTGTTATCTACCTACTCGTATTTCAATGTCATCATCGATTTCTTTCTTAAAATCATTTTTTACTCGATGTATGTATCTCTTCCATTAAGTATTGTTTTTCTTTTACCCATTGATTGATGTTGACAATTTGTCATCCCTTAAAACACATATACAATTTCAAGACTTAATTTATGTCTTATACTTCTGGGTTAATAAAATAATAATATACTATTATACTCAACAAATGCCCTACAATAAATTAAACTATAAAATCCTTTCCATAGATAATTGAGTGAACAGGCGAAGACCTCAGTGACCTTTTTAGATCATTTTTCGTGTGAATTCCACTTTAACCAATACATTTTTTTACCTGAAAAAAAATTAACATTATGTATGTCATAGGTACTTACATAATATATTATGTGGTTACAGCTTTATTATATATTTATTGTATTTAGATATAATAATTTTTAATAAAAATCATATAATCAGTGATCAAAAGTTAGTTAAAATATTATAACAAATAATAAAAAAAATAAAAATGTTTAATAATTATTAATTATAATTAACATTATATAGGTAGATTAATTATTTATACATCATATTATACTTAGATACTTATATCTTTTTAACACTAATTTAAAATAAAATATATAATAATCAGTGGCGGCTCGTGAAGTTCACGTAAAGTGGTGCACAAAAAATGTATAAGATATCTATGTTAGATGGTAAAAAAAATTATTTTGGTATAGGTACATACCACGAATAATACCAAAATAATGTACCTACTTATCTTATCTAAATTAAATTTTTTAAGCATTTTACCCCATTAAAATATAAATTAAATTATAAAAAATTATCAACTACTTATTAATAACTTATTATGTATGAATATAAACACAAATACACAATATCGTTGTAATTATAATTTATTATTAGAGGCTAGAGCTATACAATTACAACAAATTACAATTATTATTATATGAAATTAATCAGTTACATTTTTAAAAAGTAAATCTATACGTCTGTCTTTTTTTTGTATAAACACTTCAATAACTTCTTCGTTAAAATTAGACATTTCATTTATTTATTTTATTTATAATAAGTCTATGGATATTATAGTAGTTATTAGTTGATTTGACTGCTGCAGTGCTGCACACTGGCGGCAGTTGATGGATACTGTACAATGATGCGTTATCGTTTCGACGAATGACACGATATCGCGATAGCGCGACAATAAAATAGGATCGGTGCACACATTAAATATTTAAATGTGCTCCAAATTGCCATGTATTACCGGTCGGCGTGTCGAGGCATGTAGCTAATTTTTATACGGCCGCCCGGAGCACAGACAACTTGTGCTCCGCGATATTATTTAATCGTTTATAAATATATTTCTTAACATAAAAGCTGCAAAAACTTGTTTTTATTAATATAAATATTGATATTTTTTTTAATTACAGACCATTTGCATAATCATCAATTATACTATGTTATTATGGCATATAATAATTTTTTAATATAATTTTTTGGGTGGTTCACGTGCTCCTGTGTACCATACCACGAGCCGCCACTGATAATAATCAATAATGATCACTATAGTTGGTACTTGGTTGACAATTAATTTAAATTAAATTAATGAAAAATATATAATACAATTATTAATTATCAATAATGAACAGCTAGGTAATAGTAAAAACTAATTACTTAAATAACATTTGAAATTTGGTTTGATAATGATTTGAAGATGCAGCTTTGACGAATTGAATAATGATAATGGTCAAGGTTTTCCTTGAATGACAAAATTATGGTGTTTAAATGTTTTTATTTTATAAAATTATTTTATAATTTAAAAAATGTATTTTATTTTGTTTATTTTTTAGATTCTGAGTGGAACGATGAATGTATTAACTTTACAATGATGTGTGTTTTTTATTTATTTTTTAATTTTTGTGTCTGTGTACACGATTAGTAGTCGAAATAATGCTTCGATTTTCAACTTCAGTAACTTGTTCGATGAGAAAGTGAATCTAGTTGGTACTTTTGGGAGGTCAAAATTTAAAATTCCCAATAGTTTTCACAAGCGAAAAGATTAACAAAAGAAAAATTAAGGGAAAACGAGAATTTTTACGCCAAATTGATTTTTCAGAAAATTGAATTTGGTTTTTGGTGTAACTTTAAAACAAATGACCGTAGATACATGAAATTTTCACTGGTTGTTTATATTTGCATTTTCTATACACGATAACATTTTCAAAATATTTTGATTTATTTTGAACTGTTTAGGGACATTTTCATTTTCCGTTTTCTTTTAGTTTTTTTTCTAAAGATATCAATAAAATTTTATTTGTTGGCTGAAAAAGCTGAAAATTTAATAGAAGGCTCCTAGTATATTTTTTCAAAGGCAGATGAAAAATATTAAAAATCCTTAGTCACAGTTTTTTTTTCTAAGCATTTAAAGTTCATAAATTGACAAAATATGGATAAATCACGAAAATTAGAAAATTATTTTGATTAAAAAATTCGTAAAATTTTTCTTTTTAAATCTAAGGTTTAAAAATGCAATACAAGATTCCTCATAAGTTTGTCTATCTTTATCAATAAAAAAATCTCTACCGGAAAGTCAAATTAAATTTTTATGAGCGTTTAAAATTCAAATTTTTACAACATTAGATATTCACTCGATTTCTCATGTAGCGATTTCCTTATTTTGTTGTGATTCAAAAACGAATAACTGTAGATACATGAAAATTTCATTGAATGTTTAGATTAGCATTTCCTATACACCGTACATTTTTGAAAATATTTTGACTCTTTGAGCTGTTTACGGACATTTACAGCTTTCAATTTTTTTTAGTTTTTTTTTCTATAAATATCAATAAAGTTTTATCTGTTGGGCTAAAAAGTGTAAAAAATTAATAATACAAGGCTCCTGATATATTATTACAATAGCATTAAAAATACATAGGCACAATTTTTTTTTATAAG